CAATGCTAAAACATATAAACTCTAATACTAATTTAGTAACAAATTATTGTTGTGCATATAATAGAAGCAGTTATTTTATAATTTATTAGCAAAGCTAATTATAAGCTTCTCTGAGCATCACATGCTTTAAAGATTTCATGAAGCAGCTCCAGTTCATTTGAGTTCTCCATTAGCAAACCATCAAAGTGAGCTCTTGTCATTGATCGGAGCTCCGCGTTTTGGTGACAGAGCGCATCACTGCCGCCTCAGCTGGCGTTCAAAACATTTATTTTTCATTTAAAACACAATGAGAAGTCTTAAGCCTTAAAAGTAAAAGTCTTTAATTCCTCTTTTGCTTGGTGTAAATCATATTTTTTGGATGATTGTTTCCTCTGGTGTCGGACGCTGTGCAGCTGGAAGGGTTTTTATCAAAACTTTTTTAGTTTTGGACATTCATGATGCGTAATAACAACAAGGTGGGGTTTTTTTTAACAACCAGAAGCAGCTGATTAACATCTCACAAGCTCAAATGATATCTCAGCTACAGCCCCAAATCTCAAATGACTTGAAAAAGAGGTGCCGTAGATGCATTCCCGTCTACCTGCCGGCTGTGTTCGAGTTCCTGACCACTGAGATCCTGGAACTGGCAGGAAACACAGCTCATGACAGCAGAAGTACATGATTGTCCTCCGGCACCTGCAGCCGGCTGTCTGCAGTGACGAGGAGCTCGTCAGGCTGCTGGGAGGAGTGGCCATTGCTCTGGGAGGAGTTCTGCCTAGCATTCGGGCAGTCCTCCTGCCCGGAGTAACCAAGAGGCCAGCCAAGTCTGAGTGGACGAATCGGACGGCACCTGTGGCCATTTTCTTCGTATCCACTGTAGGACGGACCTTTACAAGAGATCCTTCCTGCCTACAGCCATCAGCATCTATAACATCTCTTAATGAAACGAGGATAACGAGTTAAAACATTTAATTTCCCTTTGGGATTAATTAAGTATTTTTGAATTGAACTGAATTGAAATGAAGTGTCAGGAACAATAAGAATTTAACAAACTAGTCATAAGTAATCGGCTGCAGAGATTTTAACAGTGTGCAATGACTGAGTTGATAATTCTGTACTAAACTGAACATTTGAACACATTTGTAAAAACCTAAGAAAAGAACTGAATGGACCACACTTACATAAAATATAATAATACAAGCTCCTGGAACAGACGGGGATTTTTAAAGGATGTTCGGTTTAATTCCTGTTTGAGTTTTAAGTCCGTGTACATCTGTAGACAAATGTAAGTTGAAACTTCCCTCTCAGCTTGACTGCGTGCACGTGCGTGTTATTTATCATGATGCGAGGTTCCTCTGCAGGTGTGCTGCATTTACAGGATGTAAGGCAGTGGTGTAGAAATGATTGGTTCACATGCATTTCCAAGAAAAGTGTGTGTGGGTGTGTGTGCTTGTCTGTGTACAGAGAGTGTGGGTTAGATGTGGTGCATCCAACCATATGTCTGCAGTGCAGTAATGTCTCTTTCTATTGGCGTGTTTATTTCCAAACATGAAGGCTGCACTCAAGCTGGGCTTTAATGCATCACACCACACAGGACCTTTACCCATTGAAGCACCCAATATTTCATAAAAACTTCTGTCCTGTATGTAGAGTAAAAAATATTACAAACAACTTTAGATAAGTAGGAGTATTTTGTTATGCAGGTATTGAATCACGAGGACTCATTTTCAAGAGAGATCTGTTTTAGACAGACAACAATATACAAGAATAAAAAGCAATTAAAATAAAAAATAGTGTTATAAAAACACTGTTACTGTTAGCAGCATGGTACTTTAAGTAATGTGGTTCTCTTAGCAGCACATATATATATAGTCCTGTTAGCAGCATGGTCCTGTTAGCAGTATGATCCTGTTTGCAGCATAGTACTGTTAGCAGCATGGTACTGTTAGCAGCATAGTACTGTTAGCAGCATGGTACTGTTAGTTGTATGATCCTGTTA